ATAGATGCTTCACGAAGTTTGCATGTGCCGAAAAAACAAATAATTTGAAAATTCAAGGGAGATGCAGTGAGTAAAATTCATCTGCCGAGAACAATTCAAAGAAGGTTCTTTGCTGCATTTCTACGCCTCATCTTCTCCACACATGCTCTTGTTCACCGAAATGTCATATCAAAAGCCCACTACTGGAAACTTCAGTTTGCATTTACCGAATCACTTGCTGCTGTGGGGTTAAGTACACTGTCTAAACGAGCTCATGAACACTTACCAGCATGGTTGTCAAAAGGAGAACGTGAAACAGTCACCAGCTCAATTCTGGAGCACAATATTACTTCTGGTCACGCACCATCAGGAGAGGCTTCTTTCACAGTCATGTAAAAAGTACGATCAGGCCATTCAAAAGGACTTCGTTTACATCTTCGTCATTCAATCCATAAGGAGAAAAGTGAACTTTGCCTTCGGAAATATTTTAACTGGCATCTTTTACTACCGTGGTCTTAGTGTCGATTTCATTTTCGCGAACTGTTGTATAATGAACTAAATGTAACCCATTTTCAATCCTTTGTTCTCTTGTTTCTTTTCATTTATTTCCAAATGGTTATTCATTTGTCAACCTTCTCGATTACACAAAACTATTCACTATCTTTTTACACATTGTTATTCTATACACACTGATTTATTTTATTTATTAACCGACGATGACCTCTGACCTTTGCTGTCAATATTAATACCATATATATGAACTCCTTAATAACTGTACAGTCTTTTAAGTGAAGTTAAGAAAACAAACCTTTTTTCTTACTTATGTATTATTAAATTGTAAACTAGTGCATATGTGTATCATTTTGGCCGGAAAATGAGATTACTCTCTTGGGAATCAGGTCGAGAAAAATCTTCTGACTTCTAAATAACATAGTTTACTTAAGCGCATTGAGAGGAATATTCCTAAATAGAACAGAAATCTATCTACAAACGAATGAACTACGCTCCCTGTTTACAGTGAGACTGGTTCCTAAACTTATTCCAGTATCGTTCAGTCAGTGTGTCTAACATGTTCTCGAAAGCAACACTGTGAATAAAATCTGTTCAGTAATTTACTTATAGCTTTGAGATCACAACCAAAAGGTGAGGTATAAATATCTTGATAGATTATAACCAGCACTTATATCTGTATTCACAAGAAAGAAATGGTAATAGTGTCTGGGGTGTGGTACTTTCACACATACTCTATTAAGCTGAATAATATGAAATCCTGTTTATCCTGAGTCTAGGAATTGTGATTAAAAGTTACTTTTTAGATAAAACTTTGATTTACTGTCTCGATACAATAGATATATTGTGATTACAACAAAACTTCATTGACCCCATTGAGTATCTTTGCAGTAAAAAAAAAAATAGGCCTTGATACAACGACGTAACTGGATGACTGAAACAGTATGACATAGTGTAAATTTGATGTTTTCCAAAAGGTGGAATATTGTGTGGCCTAATAATTTAGGCAAGACGGTCTCATATTAACAGCACCTGTTTAGCTAGAAATGCATATCTGTCACTTGGTACAACTAGAAGACTTATTCTAGCATTTTCTGTACTGACGATTCTATTCAGTAGTGAATTCTCCATTTATCTTTAGATATTAAGGCTGAGGTAAGGCTGAGCACAAATGAGTACAAAAGTATTGCATATATGACCAAGAAAAAGATAATTCATTTCGTGGGTGTAGTTCAAGATACAGAGGACAAATAGACAATCCGTTATTTCCTAAATCTGCAAATTTACAGTTATTGCTACTGGAAGTGATCAATAGTTATTCAGTCAGCTTGAAAATTTATGTGTCGAATTACATTCATCTAAAGATCAATAATAAGTCAGTAAAAATTAATCAAAAACAGGTTACTTCTGAAGAATAATTCTTTTAGTATTTTCTTTGTATACATGAATGAGTTTAAGAACCGTAAATTGAAGATACACGCCTTTGACATGGATGGTGCTTCTGTCGTCTGGTTGACCAGATAAATGTGGATCCATCAGTTTTTGTTGCAACCAATAATAAAAATTTCACCCAGGTACCTACCTACCTGCAAGATTGAGTTTACACACCACACTTCATTTCATTGCACCACATCACTTCAATTTTTGGAGCATACTTTACTAGTCTTTAGAAAACAATGTTGTTTTCCAAGCAGGATGGTTTAATTGCCAAGATTTTGTTGTCTTTCCAGATAGAGTGACAGCAATTACGTCGTTAACAGAGAATTCAAAAACCTACTTCACATTGCAACAGGCGGCGAAGATGTTGCCTGGGTGAACAATGAAAGCCTCGCAACTGAGCCCCCGCACCCACGCGTCAGCTCAGAGATGCAATCAAATCGGAAACATCCACCTCATTTGCGAATCTCTATTATCATTTTAGAAAGCGATAGTTTTTGTCGTTGATAAAACAGGTAAACTGAGTGAAGATAAGAGTAATGAAATCAGGTTATTGTCTAAAGTAGAATACTTTATTTCTGTTAAACAAATTTTCACCCAGTCGTTCTGTAATTTGACTTCGTTATCTAAAAATGTAATGCATAGACGCTAATCAATACTTCTGGTTTCGAATTATAATATGAAGACAATACTTTTTAAATAAAACGAAGACGCATTTTGTCAAAAACTTAATGATTAATTATTATTTCTCGTGCATTACTCCAACTAAGAAATGAAGGCTGTTTACTTGACGCTAAGTGCTTATTTTAATAGATCACTTTTTTGCGCCTTCAAATCATTGGATACTCTCTTTAAGTTTGAAGCACTGGTTGTGTTTTTAAACTGCTATCTAGTGGGTGAATCTTTTTTCTTTCTTTCTCGTTGAATAAGTTGCGGTAGTTTTCATTCTGAGAAGCTGAGCAATTGTAAAAACTTAATTTAACTTAAACCATAATATTGGATAATAGTATATTTCGTTCGGTGTATAATGACTGGCCGTGGAATCCAGTAAGTTTCACCGTGAGCCTAGTAACTTCACTTTGTAGAAACATATCTCCTCAACTGAAACTTCAGAAATCATGCTTGAAGTCCTATATTCCTTTTGGAAAGCAAATGAATGAAGAAGAGCAACTGTGGATATGAGCGAAATGTAGTCGCAAGGACCATAGAAACCAAAGGATATATATATAGTGGTACATTAAACTGCATTGTAAGCAAATGCATTTTATTATGATGTGATCAGGCAAAATATGAAAACAGGATGCTTGCATTATTTTGCTGCTAATGTTACGATAAAAGATGTCCAAAGAGAGGTAAGTTGAAGTCTAAAACTACTGACGAAGTGAGCATTTTTATTATACTTCTATTAGATCCATAAATATTGTTTCATTGATCCTTTCGAGAAGTATATATATGATATGAGGCTTGACTACAAAACTGGACTAGAGTGTGTGCAGCATATGCGTAACATTGTAGGGAAATGTAGGTTTGGAATTAAAATAATTGCTTGATTGATGGTAAACTGTCGTACAGCCTTCACCTTTGAATTAATATGAAATCAGTATTTCATCGTTTGGGAATTTAATAATCAGAACTATGCTGACAAATTATCATTTAAAGATAACTGACGAATTATCTGCGGCCACTTGTACAATAAGAATGTCATCAATCAGTAATTAAATTTCATTCTGTCATCTTATAGCACCTAGCCTAATAATATTATGTGTAATCTATACACATCAATATTTTTCCTTTATACATTTAAATACATTCATAGTGGTGGTAATCATCAGCGAATTGTAACCTGTCATTCACTAATTTAATCAAACAAAGTTCAACTGAAGAAGCTAGCAGGTTATTCGGAAGTGTGTATTTAATGAATGGTGATACAGCTTCGTTTCTTTTCACCCTAAAAGAGGAGTTAGCAGTGATAGTGAAAATTTGTCTTGGTCTGCTATTAAAACTTCAATGCTGTTCAAAATATGTATATATTATTTCAAGTTAGATTCATATCCAGTCATCCTTCAAAATAATAATATCACTTTTAATGAATGCAAAAACTTGATTTTGTTCTCAAAACCAGTTGACAGTGCTTCAATGTCATAAACTCATTTGCATGTTTTGCAAAGAACAACTTTTCGGATGATTCATAGCCAGTCAAACAAGTTAGTAGAACCTAGAATCCTAAAACTTAGTGTTGTTAATTTTAGTTTGAATTCAAACAAGTATGTAGTTACACAAGTGGAAGCAGATTCTGTTTTCTTTCTTATGCGTTCCAAATGGAATATAAGGCATCAAGTTAGAGCTGTGAAGTCTCAGTAGCAGTTGTGTCACTATTTTTACGGAGAATGGTTACTGATCTCTCTCCAAAACTTCCCTCTTCACTGCGCTTACTAACAGCTACACGAGTTTTAGAAGTGCGTCTGTTGGGAATTGGACCCAGACCGCGTGCGTGGTTGGCGAACATTCCACTAGTGAACCACTGACGCACTACTAGTAATAATTTGCCACTAGTATTATTTATCAGAGTTTTCCTTTTACTATCAAGATTCATCAAATGTACCTATTTTCCATGCTTTAATTACTATGAGTTAAGTGAAAAATGTACCCAAATAATCAATCAATAAATCAAATCGATTCATCAACCCACAGAACATAAAAAGTCGTCTCTCATCTTCCGTTATCTACAACATTTAATTTTGTTCGCCTACTTATTATTTATTCATTTTTTTTGTTCGCAAACTGGAAACAGGACAATTTGTTATTATAATCAAAACTTCAAAATGTCGATTAATCTAATTACTGTGTATGTTGATTTACTGTGTGAATGATGAAGAATATATTCGCTTTATTGTTTTGAAAAAATATTGTTCTACCTCACTAGTTGGAAAGATACTATCTTTAACCGTTGGTTGGAAACCAAAATTTGATGGTATGAAGAAAGTCTGTCCTCAATATTTCAACTGGTCAAATCAAACCAACAAGGTTATGTTCAGGCACAACCTTGAGATCTACCAATCATAAAACACGGAGTCCAAATTTCCTCACCCTAGTATTTACCTATCAGGCAAGAAAAAGAATTGTGACAACAACATTTGTGAAACAGGGTGGTAAGAAAAATAGAATCATTTTATTCCTTCAATCATTTTTCACTGCAACTATACTCATCACATGAATTGTTGCCACTATCAGATCATCAAATGATCTACGAATTTACACAAAATTAAAACACTGTGGAGTTAAATGACGCTATGAAGACAATGGGTAAGTCACATTTATTGTGTTTGTTCATCCATTACATACAACGGTCTAATTGAAAAACCCTGCTTTTTTTAAAATAGATAGAGTAACATGAGTTAGATCTATATTCTACATTCAGAGGATAGTCTAAATATAGTGACATCTATTAATTTTTGGAAATCTTTTGCCTTAACTGTGAGACTTTCTAGAATTGATTTGTTACAGTGTTATCTTCCCGGAAAGGAAATACAATTTCATAGAATTGTTCCTTGAGAATAGTAGATTACACAATATGCTGACTCACAATTCCCTGACAAATTGTTTTTGAGCTAAAATACCAATGGTCTATAATTCAGTTTCTGGATTTTCAATAGAACTACTGAGTAATATTCAGTTCTGATGCTTGTAGATAATTGGAATAATTTAGAATAAGCCTGTTTTCTAACTGATAACAAGTATGTAAATGCTAACGTTCAAGAAGCCGTGGATATCTAAATCGTCTAATTTTTTTTAGTTCCCCCTGTAGAACACATTCACAACTTTGTGAGACATACATACCAGAAGCATCAGGTCTACCGCCTACGACTTCAGAATATTTACTTTTCGGATAGTGAATAGACAAAATATTTTTCTGGGATCAGACAACACAATAACGATCAAAAATGTACACAGTATTCACAGATATTTCCCATCAATAATACACATATATATATGACGTCTGAAGAAACTTTCTAAAATTCAGGTTCCACAGTATTATAAAACTACACGAAATATGTGTAGTTTACAAGTCATTCTTAAGCCTTTGAAGACAAGTAAGGTTAGGCGTGGGATTAGTAACCCCATGAGCATTCTATCTCTGCACCACCAACGCGCCTCCTCCAGCATAATGAAAATAATATGCAACTCACAATTCAGGAAAGTTACATATATACAATGCTACGCACCTACGAATAACACAGACCCAGTGAAGAAGAAGGAGGACTTTATGCACTTATTCCCCTTTGTGAATCTGAATAAAGCGAAAGCTGCCTACAGCCTAAAGGAATTATGAAGTTTATGTACAGAAAAATATTAATATCCTTGAAAGGAGGATTTTTGCAGATAACTTCAAACACTAATGCACAACGACCTAAGTGATGACATCAAAATTCTAATGGATTATATGAATGACAAACTGGAAGCATACGACACAGGAGGAAAATTCACCAAGGATCAAAACGAGCTCAGTGAAATGAACGAGAATAGAGAACTATTTGTGTACTTCTACGCTTTCAGTGATTTGGTGTTTGGTCTATTAACAAGGCAATGTGAGTTTCATCAGATCAGCCTGCCAAAAATCACACAAACTTCATTTAATTCTCAAGAAAGCAAAGATGCATCCAGCCCACTGTACGCAAAAGTGAGAAGAGGAATAGATGTGGGCTCAGACCGCACCCTGGTGCAGAGAACCTTCAAGATAAAGTTGAAGGACGTCGAAATAGAGAACGAACTAATACAGAGATGAACAACGAAAGAAGAAGCTGAGAATAATCTGCGGAGTAGAGAAGATTGCTAGGATAGACAACAGACGCCTTTACGACGCACTGCCAATTGGTAAAGAACAGACTGCGTGTAAATGTGACCTTACAAAATTATCAAATAACCAGATCACTAACCGGATAAAAGTCAACGCAAATGAAGCCAATCAAAAATAGTGAAAATTATCGTATTTGTATTGATGTGAGTGTTGTCCTGTTAATTACTTGAACATTACTGTTCATCAGAAAACACTAGATCAGAAATAAAACTCTCAGCCTGTTGAGTTGGTTGAGTTAGAATCCATAACCAGTGAATTAACTTTACTGCAAGTCAAATAATCATCACTCATTTAGAATTAAGCGTACGGTAATTATGTGTAATGAATGTGTAATTATATGCTAATCTGAATGAATGAACTGGCAATGAACTAAACAGTCACATTACTGTTGATGTGATTTTTTTGATCGATAGCCTGTTATATCGACAAATTAAACTAAATAGATTAAATAAAATAACTAAAATTCAACCTTTGTAAAGGTCAGAGATAATTCATATCAAAGGCAGTATAACTACTCCATTGTTTTGGAAGTATTTATAAGTAAACGTAGTCAGAGACTGAATGATGATTACTGGCCACATTTGTAAACTTCTGAATCATGTTTGTGTCACTGTTACTCACAGCGACTGTGTTTATGAACTGATAAAAATGATTTTATTCAGTGAACCCGGTAAGTCATCTCTCATACAATTATTCCGTAAGACTGAACAGTGGTTAGGATAAATAGTTTTTTCAATAGTAATTCCCACTGATTTTATTTTTAAGCAAAGTAAATACAAAAATGAAATTTATTTTATTTCGTAGTCTATATACATTGCTATGACTAAAGTCGCCGTTCATCTTCGGAAAACTTTCCAACTTGGTTTATACGGAGGCATCTCCTCCTGCTTCTGTATGATCAGGTGGTTTTACTTATTAGTTACTTTTTAACAAATGCTGTTGCACTGGATTATACACAGATTCCATCGTTTCATTAATTTAATCACTGTGAGTCACTGTCCCCCATGCCTAAATCCGTCACCCTGTCAAAGTTTATTCCTTTTTTCTCGAAATTAGCTACAAGTGAAAATTGTTTTCTAGGCATAAGTTTCATCACTAAATTTTGATTAGGACAAATCTTTCCGATCGACTTGCAACTGTTCATTAGCAGGCATTTGATTGATTTCAAGTTTGATCACAAAATGACTTCAATTAGAGAACCTTCGAGAACCAGTGATTGCTGGACGGCGGTTTCGTCCTTGATCTGGACTCTTCAGCATCGCACATTCGCACCACTATAGATAGGACCTAGGTCCCTCAGATTGCAATTTAGCTCGTTTATCAATAAACCACTGTGATGAAGTCCACTGACCCGCCAATTAATTCTAACTTCTGTAAATTCACGACTTATAGCGTGGCCGCTAGCCGATGTCATAGGCGGACCTCACTGGTCATGGCTTCTGTTCAGAATTCCAGATAACTTCATCATGTAGTCAGTCACTAATAAGCAATAGGTTGATTTTCAAATGGTTGTTTGCAGGCGACTGACTGATTTCAATTTTGATCATGAATTGTCTAGTATTGTCCAGTACTCTTTGGTTATTCTGATTGCCATTTACGAGCAAGCTTAAAATTACCTCGATAGATTTTTTATATTGAAAACATATAATTAAGCACTTTGTTCCTTATACAACATTGAAAACACCAATCTTAGGCACTTTTTTCTAAAATGATAATGTTTCATTAACTAAGAAATATTTTACTTTTGAAAAAAAGTAAATGTTTTTCACAGAGTTCCTCAAACATACAGCACATTAACTTACAGAATCAACCCTGAAATAATACAAATCACCACAGACTATAAAAAAGACTAGAGTAAAATTTATTGATTATCTGCAGCTAACGTACAATTACGGCAGACTTTATTATGTGAATAAAGAACAATGTAGTGTGTAATATTTTTCAATGTGTTAAGTCCACCTTTTTTGAAAGAGGCGAGGAATTTTCGATCCGTCACACAGGTGGTAACGATTGTCTTTATTTTCCTACTAAACAACTCAACTTAAAGTACTTTTCAAACTGGGTTATTTGGAACGATTGATGATGTCATGTGACTAAACAACAGACACCACTAATTTAAACTTGTTCATTAAAACTAAACTCTAGTGAAATGACGTGTGAAGTGATAACAAACCGACAATATCCGTCATAGCTATCATTACACAGACACTTTATTATTAATATTCAGCGAAGACGTAAAATTTAATCGTAATTCGCAGGAACAATTATAAACCAAACGAGTAGTTATTTACACTATTTTCATTAATGTTGTTAACTGAAAGAAGTTGGAATGTGTGATGCACTGAATTCCATCTTAGTGGCGTAGTATTCAAGGAACCCGTGTTGTCCAAGTTCGATTCCTGATGGTAAGATGATGGGTGTACACTCCTGAAGAGTCCGAAACAACGAAGAAACCATTGTCCAGTACTCTCTTGTTTCTAGTGGTTCTCTAACTGAAATCACTCCATGATCTAGGTTGAAACCAATCAGATCCCTACAAGTCAACACATAAAAATATTACCACTATTATTAGTATTTCTGCTTCTATTGCACAAGGAAGATGAAACAGAATGAGAATAAACACTACAAGACAAAATGTGAGAGTGAGCTGATTGACTGGAAGAATAAAATCACTCCTAAAAGCTAGTTATTAACCTAAAATTAATTTTTAGGTTATTTTTTAATTAGAGAGTTATGTCATAATGATAATAAACCAGTTTTATCATTGTTTATTAAGCCATAGAAAGGAAGTAAGTGATCGCTTGAGTTAAAATGATTTTATGAGAGATAAAAAGAACTCCGATTTGATTCAACTGTGCATTATCATTAGCATCATTCTTTTTTTTCAGTATACATACACACACAATTAAATGATTATTTAGGTTTCTGACAACATTTTTATTGTTGTTTGAAACTGTTTTACATCCTAATTAAATAAATTTAAGAAATCTAAGATGCAATTTATGTATGATGATATACACTACTGACTGACTGATTCGGGTAGTTGGACACCACTTATATCAGCCACTAGTGCTTGCTAGCCAGACTAAACACCGAACTGCCATCTCGCTCGTTTGGGGCTGAACTCATCATCAGGATGCCCGGTTTGACTCAGCTCAGACAGTCGAGTCATTTCAAACAACCCGAATTCTCTATAGATCCTTAAATCAACTGGTATTACGTCAAATTCATTTTTTATTACGTTGTTCATAGATGTATTTCAGCGATAAAATGATAATGACGTAATGATATTTAATATATCCACATAAAATAGCTATAAATATTACCAAGTGTTGGTTTGTAGGGATTTCAAGTTTTCCACTGGTTCTCTAACTGATGTTAACTCGTGATCAAACCTGGAAACATTGAAATCCCTGCAAACCAACACTTGATAATATTTAAATCTATT